AAGGGGGGGGCCCCGACTTGATTGGTTTTAGGCACATGAAGTAGGTAAAGTAAATACATCAAAGACAGTTAAGTTTTATTTCCTATGGTAGGCCTACAGATCACAAAGATTAATTAGATCGATGTTGATGAATTTTAAGAGTCATATCGGACAATCTGAGGTACTATTTCCCCAAATTTACCACCTCAGCCAAACCTTTGGTGGGGCTGAGAGAGGCGTGGACTCACGGTTCTTAGTACGGTAGGTAAAGTAAATACATCAAAGACAATGTTTTTAATTTTTATTTTCTGCGGTACCACATCACACATATGAATTACGGTAGATTTCTATGTTGCCGAAAATAGCTGATAAAAGATCATGAGAATGTGTTGACGCTTCATTTTGACTATATAATTGTGATGTGATGATGATGAATTTTACTATTCAAAAGTGACATTTCCGGCCATCTAGAGGTACTATTTTTCTCGCCTCAGCCCCAACCTTAGTGGGGCTGACGTGGATGTGGACTCACGGCTTTGAGGTAGCTCAAGTAAATTAAATATATCAAAGTGAGTGTTTCTTCAGTTTTATTTTCTATGGTACATCTTTGTGATTGCCGAAAATCCCTGATAAAAGAACATGAGAATTTGCTGGCGCTTCGTTTAAACTATATAATGGTGATGTGATGATGATGAATTTTACTGTGTGTCATTTTCGGCCATCTAAAGGTACTATTTCCTCAAATTTTCTCACCTCAGCCCCAAAAAGAGCTGAGGGGTTTTATTGACTCGCGGCTTTGAAGTAGGTAAAGTAAATACATCAAAGACAATGTTTTTAAGTTTTATCAGGGAACAGTGAAATTATTTTGGGTTTTATTTGTGGTACATCACACATATTAAAATCTCTGTGGTTGCTGAAAATCGCTGTTAAAAGATCAAGAGAATTTGTTGGCGCTTCATTTTGATTATGGTGATGTGATGATGAGGAATTTTACTATTCATGAGTGTCATTTCCGTCCATCTACAGGCCGGGTACTATTTCTTTTCCACAAAATGTCTCCCCCGACCTTTCAAAACAGATCTGGGCCCTTGGATCCGCCCCAGACAAAACGAAGACCGAACACCTGAAAAACGGAGACCCACATTTTTTTTTTCAATCGTGATTAAAATATTGTCTTTAAATCACTACATGCTATGTATACATGACATGGATCTTTCTAGCAATCAGAGTCAATTAATGATCTACTCTTTATACCAGTCCCAAGCCAATCTTGTTCAAGGCAGAGCTCGTCTTGGCACTCCGAACCAATGTGCCNNCCCCCCCCCCCCCCCACCACCAAATTGAAAGCAATACTATTCTCAATGCTATTCTGGCCAGTGATGCTGCCAGGATCGACTGGAGGTTTGCACTGACATATCTAGGAAAGTGAGGAGTTAGTGGCATCCCAGAGCCCTTACAGAGGGCTGAACTCCGCTGGACAGGAAACAATTTAATGATTTGAAAGGCTTTAATCAAGTCTCACAATATGTAAAAAGTGTTTTTGCTTTTTGTATCCTCGACGTATTTTTTTTCTCCCAGCCGGGGAGATCCTTCTGACCAGGGGGCTGTATCCACTCGGACTCCACTGGTGCCGCCACCGATTCCGTCATTAACATTTTACTCAAAATAACAATATAAATTGTACATTTTTCCTTGATTCTTAAAATTTTATTAATGGGTCCGACGGAGGGACTTTCACAGATGGACGATTTACCGCCTCAGCCCCAACCATGGTGGACTGAAGAAAATAATCTGATTATGACGGTGGCACCTCCAGATGGCCTGAAATGCTACTCTCAGACTTAAATTTGAATATAATTTTCATTTTTCCTCCATTTTTTTTAAAACAATTTCGAAAAAAATAAGGGATGGGCCAGTCACATTGAATACGCCATTAAATTCTATGCTGTAGCTCTCACCCTGAATAAGTGATTATTTTAAAGAATTTTAAGTTAAGATGCGTAGTATTACATAAAAATACATGCTATCAATCCAGATTTTTATTTGTGCAATGCTTTATTAGATTTTTATAAGGGGGCGGGCCCTTATAGATCTGGGGGCCTCTGAAGGTCGGGGCACAGGTTGAATGAACCTGCTGAACCTTCCGTATTTACGCCACTGATCACACTGTAACATTATGGCCAAGTACCTCTTTCATCATTTCATCCGAATAAAATAATGAATATCAAGAAATAACTACAGTGGCGTAACTCGAAGTCTTGAAATGGGAGCGCTGATGGGGAGGGGGTAGCGAAGGTGAATTGGGAAGAGGGGCTCGATGATAAGTTGAGAGTTTTGAATTCTCAAAATAAGGTGATTTTAGGTGATTTTTAAATACATTGATAGTGATTTTTTTTGGAGGCCGCGAATGGGGTGGGGGAGTATTTATTTTTTTTTGCTTTGAAAAATCTTGGTCAAGACTCATAGGCCTAGGCAAACGGAAGGCCTTAGAACTGCCTAAGCTAGTCTGAAAATCGGGAAGGTAAGAGATTGCTAAAAAAAAATCGCGGAAAACCCACCAAAATCGGGAGCACTAGCTATAATATAGGCTAAATGACTGGAAAATGTAAAATCGCGAAAATAAAAGGTCGCAAAATATTTTTAAAAAATTGTGAAATCGCGAAAATATAGGGTTGCGAAAAAAAGGACTCCATTATCTAAACAAATTTACTACACATCTAAAAAAGGCGCATAATAAAATACGTTTTAATCATACTATATATTGCTATTGATACATATATACTTCACACGAAAGTATAGAAATATATGTTTATCAATTAAAATAAATGATAGCGCCAAAATTAATTTTAATCTTTTTAATAACGATCAAACATATAAAAACATTTTTTTTTGCGCTGGTGGCTACAGTCACTGGCTAAAAAACACATGTTTGTTTTAGTCACTTAGATTAGTTCTTTGTTTTTTAAGTATTAAAGTACAATTTTCCGGTATCCACAAGTCTC